GCCCCCATCATCCAATGAGACCCCATTGTCTTCAGTTGACCCCATTGTTCCCACTGACCCCATTGTCCCCCACTGATCCCATTGATTCCCAGTCACCCCATAGGCCCCATTGACCCTCATAGACCCCATTGACACCATTGTTCCCCATTGATCCCCATTGACCCTCATAGATCCCATTGTTTCCTGTTGACTCCATTGACCCTCATAGACCCCACTGACCCCATTGTTCCCCATTGGCCCCATAGACCTTATTGACCCCATTGTTTCCTGTTGATCCCATTGTCCCTATTGACCTTCAAAGACCTCATTGACCCCATTGTTCCCCATTGACCCCATTGACCCTCATAGACCCCATTGACCCCATTGTTCCCTATTGACCCCATTGACCCTCATAGACCCCATTGACTACACTGACCCCATTGTTCCCCATTGGCCCCATAGACCTTATTGACCCCATTGTTTCCTGTTGATCCCATTGTCCCTATTGACCTTCAAAGACCTCATTGACCCCATTGTTCCCCATTGACCCCAATGGCCCCATAGACCCCATTGACCCCATTGTTCCCTGTTGACCCCATTGGCCCCATAGACCTCATTGACCCCATTGACCCTCATAGACCCTCATAGACCCTATTGACCCCATTGGCCCCATTGACCATATTGACCCCATTGTTCTCTGTTGACCCCAATGACCCCATTATTCCCCATTGACCCCAGTGATCCCCGTTGACCCCATTGATACCCATTGACCCCATAGACCCCACTGACCCCATTGCTCCCCGCTGACCCCATTGCCTACTTAACGTCCCCCTTAAGGCCCCGCCCCTCTCCTCCCCACCAATCACCTCCCACCTCATTTACATAACCCCGCCTTCCCAATCTGGGCGTGCTCTCAATTCAACCCGGCACGCAACGGGTTAACATCGAGCCGGACCGCACCCGTGGGCGTGGCCAAACTCGCGTGGGCGTGGCAGAGCGAGAGGAAAGCATCCTATTGGCGGAGCCAAGCTGGGGGCGTGGCCGAGCGGCGGCCAATCCCTCAAGGCGAGGCGGGATCGAGAAAAGGGCGTGGCCTAACATGGGAGGTGGCGGGGTGGGCGTGGCTCCCGCGTAGCCCCGCCCCTCTCCGCTGCGTCGCGCGGCTCTGACGTCATCATCCGGCGTTCGGACGATGGTGGCGGGCGCCTTTCCCATCGCCAAGCTGCTGACCCTCGGCGCCCGCCAGCTCAGCCGCCCGCTGGCCGCCCGCATCAAGGCCGGGGCCCGCGCCAGCCCCTTCTTCCGCACCTACATCTGCCTGCCGCCGGCACAGCGTGAGCGCCGAGGGGAAGAAGGGCGGCCAATGGGAGGGCGAAATGGAGAGGGGTGCAGCCAATGGGAAGAGAGAGGGGGCGGGATCAAGGGAGGGGGGAGGCGGTGAGGGGAAGGGGTGCGGCCAATGGAAGGGCGAGGAGGTGGGAAGGCGGCCAATGGGAGCTCGCCGGGGGCGGGCTCAGGGAAATGAGGGCGGGAACTGCGGGAGGGACTGAGGGGGCAGCGGAGGGCGGGGCGCTGCGGGAGGAACGGCCAATGGGAAGGCGGATCGGAAGGGAGGGCGGTGAGTGGCGGCGCCGGGGGCCAATGAGAGATGGGGGATGAGCTGAGGGGAGGCGATATCCGCGAGGAGACGAGCGGACGGGACGAGCGGGGTCGTGTGGCGGCCCGCAGTGTACCACTGGGTGGAGATGCGAGCCAAGATGCGGATCATGGGCTTCCGCGGCGCCGCCGTCAAACCGCTGAACGAGGAAGCGGCGGCGGAGCTGGGGGCCGAGCTGCTGGGGGAAGCCATCGTGTTCGGCGTCGGGGGGCTGTGCATCTACCTCGAGTACGCCCGGCAGGCGGGGCAAGCGCGGCGACGCGAGGAGGAGCAGGCGGCGGCCATGCGAGACATGGCGGCGGCGCTGGAGCGCATGCGCGGCGAGCTGGACGCGCTGCTAGCCGAAAGGGGCGGGGCGACGCAGAGCCCCGCCTCCGACGCAAGCCCCGCCCCTGACAGAAGCCCCGCCCCCGCGGCACAGCTCGTCCCCGCCCATTAAAGCGCCCCCGCGCTCTTCCCGGCGGCGGGCTGCGAGAAGGGGGCGTGGCCGCGGCGCGGGGGCGGAAGGGGCGGGGTTAATAAA